ATCTTTAATAAAATTATTTTTTATAATAATTTATTAAAAATATTTTAATATATCTATAAATTAAATTACATTTTTAATATGACCTGCAAAAACACCTTTTCGTTTCCACAATCCCAAACCCAACCCCTTTTTTTGTCCACTTTGTATTACTCAATCATTTTTTGGCCTTCTAGATTAGGGGTTGTTGGGGATTGTGATTCTCTCCCAACGACACCGTAATACCAACTTAAATGTAATTATGACCACCTTTTCTTTTTTTGGCATTAAATAATCATCCTTTGAAAACAGCTAAATGTCAGGTATGGCCAATAAATAATTATATTACATATTTAAATAGACACGTCTATTTAAATTAAAAATTATATTACAGAGTAGTGATTAAGATAGATACAAAGAATTTATCAATAAAAAAAAATTCGTTTTTATTAGATAAAAAATTTTTGAACTAAAATTGAACTGAAAAAGTTATAGTATAAATTTCCAAAAAAAAGGGAGAAAAGTTGTAGTATATATTGTGGAGATTAGTATGTATTAGCTGGACCTGAAAAAATTTATAAAAAAAATTAAAATTGAGTTATTTTAATAAATACTAAGAGAAAAAATAAAAACCGTCCTTATTTTTATTTTAAAAACTATGATATTTTAATTTTTTTTACCAGAATTAATTAAAACAATGTAATTTTAAATTTTTTTATCTAATTTTTATAAATACAGCACAAGAAAATGATATTATCTTTTTCTTTTTTATAACTTTATCATTTTTTAGTTCCTTAAGGCCAAAAAATTAAAAAAAAATCATTTTTAGTTCTTCCAATTTTTTAGTTTTAGCTCTGTCCAGCTCAGAAATGTTGTGTTGCTCATAATTATTAATTGCCATATTATTGCCTTTGTGACATCAATAATTGGACGACATGTATTACTTTAATTTGTACTTTTTCCTTTTTTTTTCTTTTTTGGCAGAATAATTTGTACTTCTTCGCAGCAAGAAATTTAGCAGTAAAAGAGAAATCAAACTAATTAAGTCAAAATATATAGCTAGCTTGATATCCTATCATGACTTTGCAATTTCCACATGAATGGAGGATCCTAATTATTCAGCAACCATGTCAAAAATAATCTACTAGTGCTTACTAGACAAGGTCGAGGTAGGTCCATTAATTTTGCATGCGGAAGAAGGGCAGATAGCAAGAAAGGTTGTTGACATAGGTGCACAAAAAATAGACAAAAATGTTACTCCATTATTAACTATTATTACAATTCTTTCCAGAAAATAAGCAAAAGCAAGTCATACAAACTCATGTTTTAAGTTCTTGTGTGTATGTATATATATATACTTTCTGATAAATGTGCCATATATATCCTCTTTACATCGTCTTCTCTTTCCATGTATTGTAGTATGTACTCCATTATTTTTCTTTCTGATTCTTGCTTTTCCCATTTTAAGGGTGCTATATATATTTCTTCATGAGAGGAGAGACAAAAGGCATAGACAAAAAGCATAGACAAAATATGGGAAGAGCACCTTGTTGTTCTAAAATCGGACTGCACAGAGGACCATGGACTCCCAGAGAAGACACCTTGCTCATAAAGTATATTCAAACTCATGGAGAAGGCCACTGGAAATCTCTTCCCACAAAAGCTGGTATACGTATATATATATATATATATCTCTGTTTCTCTATTTTACTCCCCTCGTGTATGTATGGTAAATTGATTAATTGGTTAATTTGTGTTAACATTGGTATGTAGGACTTCTTCGATGTGGGAAGAGTTGTAGGTTGAGATGGATGAACTATTTGAGACCTGATATCAAAAGAGGGAACATTACTCCGGACGAGGATGACCTTATTATTAGATTGCATTCCCTTCTTGGCAACCGGTGGTCTCTCATCGCCGGTAGGATTCCTGGTCGAACCGATAACGAGATAAAGAACTACTGGAACACTCACCTCAGCAAGAAACTTCTAAGCCAAGGAACTGATCCGACTACCCATAAAAAACTCATGGGGCCAGTACAAGAAAAAGCAACTAGGAAGAGATCATCAAGAAACACCAAAGCCAACAGCAAGAACAAAGCGAAAGCTGAGTCGGAAACAGTCAAGGTACATCTTCCAAAGCCCTTTAGGATTGCTCCCTTATCATTACCCAGAAACAACAGCTTCGAATGCAATATCTTAAGCATTGCATCCTCCAGCCAAGGTGGAGGAAGAGGAGGAGGAGGAGGAGGAGGAGGAGAGGGAGGATTATTGGCTACGGAAGTAGTCCAAGTTCCAAGGCCAGACGGTACAAAAGATGACGGCGAGGTCACAGGGTTTCTTCTCGGGTACGATGATCTTCACTTTCACATGCACGATCGTTTAGTAATTAACAACAGCTCAGATTTGGAGTTCCAGCCAAATAATTTACCCGTAGGAAATGAGGGTTCCTTAGAAAAGCTTTACGAAGAATATCTGGAGCTCCTGAAGACTAGTAGTGGTGATGATCAAAATCAAAAACAATTGGATTCCTTTACGGAGTCATTATTGATATAAAAAGTCAAAGTATTAATTACGTGCACCTATCATTATTTATTATCTCATCCATCATCACTTTGGTTAGCTATCTTTATGTGTGTGGGCTATGATTAAAATTAAGTTTATGATGTATATATATATTGTAAGTTATTTAAATTTTGTTTTATAAAAAAAAAAAAAAAAA